GTCTGTATATGAACACATAGCACAAAACAGGTAACTTGCCACAAAAATTCTGTTGTGCTTAATTTACAGTCTGTATTTTAGTCTGTATTTTCCATACAGTATCAGTAAATAATGAAATGAGTTTTCAGCTACATTTGCATCAAACATGCTAGCTATTTGTCAGGAAATGTCAAAAATTATATGCTCAACTTACAGAATCAAATTTCCATCCCATAAAAAATGAAATTACAGTACAGAGAAATAGGTTGCTTTTTTAAGCACTGGAAGCAACACGGTTTGATTTTTCACTCATTAGTGCCCTAGATTTACTAGGAGATTTTTTCTCATAGACTGATTTCTGAATGAGTGTTCTCTCCCATCACTAGTAAGAGGAGAATTTACGTTGTAACCCCTACCCTTGCCAGGGAAGTTACAGGTCTTTTTCCTACTTATCTGACAAGTTTCAAAACTCACCAGATTTCAATCATTGTTGTTATTGTGCCTGTTAAAAAGGCTAAATCTGACCAGTTTAAAAAAAATATTTATAAAGAAACAGAGTAACAGACAAAGAAACAGAAGCGTTTATATGCATATAAAAATTTTCCTTAGTACACCAGGATAAAATGCAGAGCACTTGGTGGGAAAGAATTTGAAGACGTACACATGCATCATTTGGGATGACAAGCAGAAACTAGAAGGTCTGAGTTCAAGTAAACATGATAGAGAGTTGGCATCAGCATGAAGCCACTGTACATCTGCAGTTACTTTTTCATTTCTCTTTTGCATTCCCTCAGTGTGCAGCAGAAAGGGATTTTGGTGAGTGCTCCCTGACAAACTCTAGAGCAGGATCTCATGTCTGGAGAAGTAGATATTGAGGGTCTGGCCAGCTAGAAAATCAAAACTTCCCTACACTACAAAACTTTACAGAGTGACAGCAGAGAGAAGTGCTGGAGTGAACAGGCAAAGCAGAAGAAGCTGAGAAGCCAGAACCAACACATGGTTTCTGTGCCAGCGATGCTGACAACTGGGGGATCTGAGCTGGAGCTCCATCCTGCCCTGAAAGGCTGAGAAACCCTTCCTGCTTCCCAAATACTCCAAGTACTGTGCCATAACCCAAGCAGGAGAAATGCAATTTTGAGAATATCTGTTTACCTGTGCTTAAAAACCTAACACTACCATCTTCAGCTTACAAAAAAGAAAAAATCTGACTGCATTTAAAATTTGGAAGTTATAACAAAACCATTTGCAGAATGCAGTTTAAAAATGCTATGAATCAAATTAGCTTTTTATTTACATCTGTCATGCACCATCATGTCCTGGGGATGCCTCAACACTGGCACAACTGCTGCTGAACACTATGACAAACCACAACATTCCAGAGTATGTACTTTGTCCCACTGGGGAAAAATTAAAATATAGTTGCTCTGGTTCTAACTCACATCAGATTTCACTCCTTCTGTAAATGAGTAAACAAAACTACATCGATCTTGGCTGTTACATCAGTCAAGAGCTTTGATATTTCACAAGGGGCCCACACAAACAAAAGAGGAAAAAAAAAATCACATAATCTGTCAACTCGGCTATCAAGAGAGCTACCTCAAGTTTCTGCGGTTTGGGGAGGTATTTTAGTATTTCCTAACGTAACAAAGCGCGATGGAAGAAAACTCCAAAGCACCTAAGTTTGAGTCCAGGCTCTTATGACACTAGACTATGACACAGATGCTCAACCCCAGCCCTTCACTTCCATCAGTCCTGAGTTTCTAATACATTTTTGTAATGATCCCCTTCAAACTCGAATGATGAAAGTGCACATTTTGCAAATGACACCTCAACCAATCTGCCCCATCTGCATAAACGACAGCAAATGATTTCACTCTTTAGGCTTTCAAAATAAAATGCACATGCGGCAAATTCCAAGCTGGCAGGAAAATCCAGTCATTAAAAAAGTGATTTGTTTTCTAGAATTGCAAACACAAAGGCTGCATTTATTTTCAATGCCATAAAGAAAATGAACTGTTATATTTTTTTAAACAACCACAGCCCAGACATATTGGAAATGTTTTAATTTCAGAAATACTAACTGGCAAATTAGAGTCTAAATAGCTTCTCTAAAGTGGTACCATCTTATACACAGTTTTCAGATTTATTTCATCACTTTGCCCTGCAGGAAAAGGTTTTATCATCTTCTGCATAAACTGTAATGATGCCTATCTGTTGCTGGTGTCACTAAATTTAAGAAGAAACCTAAGATACGTGAATTTTAAGTAAAATTATACTCATTAACATGAAAATATATAATACTTCATGAGAGCCCCCCAAAAAAAAATCTACATTTCTATTAAAATATTTATTGTCTCTATCATTCTGTCTTTCCTACTTTCTCTTCATAAAACAGAAGAATGGAAACAGAACAGCAAATTAAGAAAATAGCAAACATAATTGATATAGCCCCATTCTAACAAAGCTTGCAATCACTATAAACTTTACACTAAATGAGCTGCTCAATTAGACTCACCAGGACTATTCCCTATACAAAATGTAAGCACATGCATCATTCTTTCCAAGATGATGATTATGTAAGGGTTATCTGTAATGAAAATAAAACTATCTCCTTTCCCCCCCCCCCCAAATTTCTCAATCTGCACTTATTTTTGTGGCTATAGCAGCATCTGGTGGACAAATAGTAAAACGAACATCTGGCATATGATAAAAATATATGTATTTTAAAATATAAATTGCTTTAATTGCTCTTTTTTAAAGTTAAAAAAAAAATCCAGTTTAGATAATCCTTAATAACTTTAAAGTCATTACATCTCTTATAAATGCTTTTTACCCTTACCTTTTCCTCCCTCATTGGACCTCTCAGCTAAGTGCTTGTGTACTATGAAGTGCTGGTCATAGTCTATCAGTGAACACAGGCCCACTTTGACAAAAATGTACAAATACCTCATAAACACAAAGTCTGCACAGTTAAGCAGTCAAAAAATTAGAACCTATCATAAATAAAGTTTTAAAGTTATAGCTAAGAGAACAAAAACTCCTGCAGGTTTTCTCGTAACAGACTCAAAGACTAAAAAGAACTCAGATCCCTAAAATAACCACTGAAGGGCAAGTTAGCATGCTGGGGTAGCAGACAGACATTTTTTTCTGCTTCACTCAGCTCCTCTATGCTTTGTTCTGACTTTCATGTAATTGCTCTCTTCTCTTTCATATTCCTTTCACTAAAATATCTGCCCAATAGGAGTATCTGTGTAGAACCTGAAAAAAAGTATTTAATGACATGAGTCAAATACAGCTGTAACTGTATTTGCTAAAATTGATCACTGCTGAAGTTGATTGTAGTGAATCCCAAAGGGCTAGAAACATATGAATATATTGGTTAAAATGACAATTTCCTCCTCCAAGTGAAAGAGAAGTCAACAAGGAGAGGGACTATGCTGGATCTCGTTCTCACCAACAAGGAGGGGCTGCTGAGGAATGTGAAGCACAAGGGCAGCTTTGGCTGCAGTGACCATAATATGGTGGAGTTCAAGATCCTTAGGGCAGCCAGGAGAATGCACAGCAAGCTGGCTTCCCCAGGCTTCAGGCAAGAGCATTTGCACCTCTTCATGGATCTGCTTGGGAGAGTACCACAGGATAAAGCCTTGGAGGGAAGAGTCACCCAAGAAAGATGGCTAATTAGTCAAGGATCACCTCCTCTAAGCTTAGGAGCAATGCATCCAAACAAAGAGGAAGTTGGGCAAAAATGTCAGGATGTCTGCATGGATAAGCAGCTCCTGGACAAACTGCAACATAAAAGAGAACCCAGCAGAGGAGGTACTTTGCTACTTACCAACAGAAAAGCTGTCACAGCACATGTCACAGCTGAGACAACCACAATACACAGAGTATCACCATAAAATTTCAGACAGCTCCAACCCACACAGAGTAACACCATAACACATCTGAAGGCTTCAAGCATCTGCCCTTCCTATTCTTCAGCCCAACCTTTTATCCCCTCATGCTGATGCACTGCACCTGTGTGCCCTCTGCTCCCTTTGGTGGTTGGTCAGTGCCCTGGGCACTCCAGGGCTCATTGCTGTCAGTGCTGCTCACAGCTGCACCCATGGGGATTGAGGCTCAGCCACAGCCCCACTCCCATTCACCACAAACTGCGCGCCTACAGAAAGTAGCACAGCCAACACACACAGCCACACACAAAAAATATTCTGAATTTACACAGACCAGCAGCTTAATTCAGGAATTGCTTTTGCTAACAAACACAACATCCCAAAAGCTCCAAAATGAGGGACTTGCCAAAACCTTCTTGAAGTTCATTACGGTTGTTTGCATTTTACACAGCAAGTGTAACTACAATACAAGGTAGTGTCCTCTTAGGCACGCAGACAGAAATTCAAAGAAATTTTGGTGAGAAGAGGCAGGGTTCTGGATACAACCAAAGTATCTGTGGAAGACATCTGCAGTCATCCACCAACTCCAGGGTCATTCACGGGGACACTGTACACACCAAGCTTTGTCAACTGGTCACTTTCAGTGACTTTAAAAGCCTTGACAAAAACATGTATGACACTCGCATTTCTTACTTGTAGAAGATACCTCTGAGGTGCTGAAAACTTACAAGCATAGATAGGAAATCAACTTGGAAACCAAAAAGAAGCAATCTAATGCAAGCATCTCTGTACCTGTACGTAAGACATGTACAACAAGCCTTGTAGGGGTAATAATTTTCATTTAACCAGGTAATATAATCAATGGGCAACTTTTTGGGCACAAACTCCCCTCTCTCATGAATGAGAAGTAGGAAGAACCCTTTTGAAGACTAAACACAAATTACTACTGTAGTTGGGATTCTAATCACACATGGGCTAGTAAGGCAGTTCCCAAGGCAAGAGTCTTGGTACCTGTCTAGAAGGTTCTAGGTTAATATGAGAAAAAGGCCGATATGTGCCAAGGGGGAAGTCTGATGTATGTTTTATTCCGTGGAATAAAAGTGGCTAACAGGATGGAAAAAACTGTCATACCTCATGTCATCCCTGGCATGGTACACCTCGCTGACTTGCAAACTGCATTTCCCCGACTGGTCTTCATAGGCGTCCCTGGAAGCTTTTACTCCTTCACCAGCACATCCAGGCGTCCAGCTCACATGTAACCCTGCCAGAGGCAAGACCTGCTGCTCTTGGCCTTGCTGCCCTCACTTCCGAGGGCTCTGCTGATGTTCATGACATGTGTTTTACAATAGACACACACACTGGCTGTAGGAGCCACGTGTTCTTCATTCCTTAGCGTTCTTTGCCTGCAGTCTGGCAAAGCGCAGGCACTGCACCCATGGAGCCAGGCCAGACTTAGACGGGAAAGGTGCCCAGGGACAGACTGTTTAAATGTAATTTTAAACTCTTCTTGTTTTATTTTTCCACTCAAACTCCGTGTCCAGCACCTTCCACGTGCGCTGACCGAGGCACGGCGCCGCCGGGGCCCGCCTACAGCCGGGCAGAGGCCGGGCCGCGGCTTCGGGGCTTCCGCCCGGCCCGGGGCGGAGCCGGCTCCGTCCGCCCGCCCTTCCCGGATCCCGACATGGCGGAGTATTCCTGCGTCAAATCCACCAAGCTCGTCCTCAAAGGCTCGAAAGAGAAGAGGTGAGGAGCGGGCTGCCCGCCGCGCCGCCCTTGCCCCGCGCTGCGGCAGCTGCCTGGGCCCGCACCGCCGCGGGGCCGGTGTAGGAGGCCGGGCAGGGATGAGGCTGGGCCGGCCCGGCCCTGCTCTTCCCTTCCCTTCGCTCCGGCCCGGGGGCTCGGCAGGGCAGGGCAGGGCTGGGGCCGGGCTGGGCGCCGCAGGGTCCCGGCCGGGGTCAGGGACCGCTCCCGCAAGGCCCGGCGGGACAAGGGCCGGGTCGGCGGCTCGTTCTCACTTCTTTCCATCTCCCCTTGCAGCAAGAAAAAGCACAAGGAAAAGAAAAGGAAAAGGGAAGAGGATGCGGCAGAGCAGCTCGATATTGTTGGTGAGCTGCTTTCCAGGAGTTACGTGGCAGTGCGGAAACTGTAGGGGATGTGCCAGAAGCTAACGAGGTCGTTATAGGACTTCGTAAAGCAAGTGTAACTCCTGTAGAAATATATAACTGTTTCTCACAACATGTCATTTGTGTCTTGGAATCTTCCTCGATTCCACACAGAACTTGTGACACCAATAGAATGGATTCAGTTTTTTATAAGTAATAAAAAAAAACATTAATATCTTTATGAGCTAGGAAATATTTTTAAGACAGTATACAAAGAGAAAACTTTACTGTTCAAAAAATGTAAAAGTCATAATTCTAAGTCATGCACATGGGAAGGGCTTTAACTTTGGTAGAATTCTATAGGAGTCAAATGTTCAAACCCAGATTGGTTTGAACAACTGAGGTCTAAGGATTACAATTTACATATTTAACAGCGAGATTAAATAGTATCTCTGATTCTCTTGTTCTGGAGAATCTTATAAATGGATATGACTCCAAAACTGCAGGAGACAGATCCAGAGGGAAAAAATCTTTTTCTTGTGAAGTGTGTCTTTGCTGCATCAGCTGAATGAATCAGCTTGGTCTGTGGACTAACGCAAAGAAGGGATGAAGCACAGGAGCTTGTAGCTAGGGATGACAGCTGTCAAAGAGCAGGACTTCCTAAAGCAGCAGCAGCAACGCCATTGAATTGGCTCTGGACTATAAAATAATGCACAAAGGTTATGAGATAGCTATCTTTTGAATTTAAAATTTCAGAGAACACGCAGAAATATAACCTCTTTGGGTATTGTAATCAAAAGTTGTGGTTACTCTGTTAATAAACTGTCATGGTTTTGTATTACAGGAAACTGGTGGGCTGTCAGTAATTTTGGTGAAATTACAGGAACTATAGCTATAGAAATGGATAAAGGAGCTTACATCCATGCCCTCGACAATGGCTTGTTTACACTTGGAGCACCACATAAAGGTTTGTTCCAGGAAATTTGAAAATAATAGAGTTTTAATCATGAAGTGCCTAAAGGCATAGAACTAGCATCACCTCAAGGCAAGCAGTGTTACAGCTAAAACCAGTTTACTACAAAAAATGCAATAATTCTAGCTGAAGCATGCAGATGACTTAAACCTAATGACCGCCAATCAGTTTCACTCATCTAGTTTCATGCTGGCTTATGTGTGCAATAAATTGAACTGCACTGGAGATGATTACTTGTTAAAGGCCATACTTGCTGGATAAAAAGCAGTATAATTTTTATTAAAACCTATAAAGTGTTTATGGTGTCACTTGAAGAGTGAAATTCAAGGTAGATGAGTTTTAATGCTTATTGCTGCATCCTTGTCATAATATACTTGTTTTGTCACTGCACAAGAGAACTACCAATGTGCTGGGATAATCAGCTCGTTGTTTGAATTTGAGGGCAATGACTCTGACATGGGCTGTTCCAGAACCCTGACAGTCTGTGTGTGTTTCATCTCCAAACAGAGATCAGAGCAGCAATGGCCATATTCCCTTGTTTTGGTTTTGAGGGATGGAGAATCCAGTGGCGTTTAGGATACTGAGTTGAGTTACCACGGCTGAACCATAATGCAATTTGTTATCAAAGAAATAACATTACAAGGAGATTAAGGTATTCAAAGCCACCAGGAAAATTACAAAACTCAATTATAAATTTCTTAAACTTATGATAATCTTTATTTTGTGCCTTGTTTTAAGCACTGTAAATATATGAGCATAAATGAGCACCTGCATTGCTTTTTTAAAAGTGAGTACTCAAAAAGGAATTTTTAATGAAATAAATACTTTCCATAGTATTTAGGAATAGTCAATGTTCAATTCTTTTTGATACTGCAGTATTAGTAGGCTAATACATTTTATGTTAATACTTCATACTTAACTAATGGCAAATTCATTCCTCAGGTGATGAAGGCCCTAGTCCTCCTGAGCAGTTTACAGCAGTTAAGTTATCTGATACAAGGTAATTACTGTAATGCTTCAAGTTTTGGTACTTGTTATCTTTGGCTTTTGTGAAAAGGCATTTTAATACTCTTTTTGAAATACATTGTCTTCTACTAAAAGTGTCGGTGATGTTTTGGGTTTTGTGAATGCATTAATTAAAAACACTCTTTCTTGTTTCCTACGTTTTCTCTTTGAGGATTGCTCTCAAGTCTGGTTATGGCAAATACCTTGGTATAAACTCAGACGGGCTCGTTGTTGGACGTTCTGATGCAATAGGATCAAGAGAGCAGTGGGAACCTGTCTTCCAAGATGTAAGCTGTTTGCAATAGTTTATTTGATGTTGCTAGTGTTTGATTGTATTTTGAGTTAATCCATGTAGATGGGTATTTTTACTTTGAAGTTAAAGGCTTTTGGAATCTCTTTCATATTGTAACTTAGGATTTTCCAACTGCAATGCATTTACTGTAATTGAAAGTTTTTTAAATGCTTCAATAGCTTCATTTTGGCAGCTATAAGCATCTTAAAAATGAAGGAGTCAGCAAGTCTGGCTAGCTAGTGAAGTATCCATCCATAAAAGAATTATTTACAGAGATGTTTGGCATATTGTAGAGGATAAATTGTTACAAATCAAGGATTATATACAACCTTATTATACTTACAGTGTGTGATATTGTTTCTGCAGAGGAAAATGGCATTACTAGCAGCAAACAGCCGTTTTATCAGGTGTAATGAAGAGGGGGACATAGAAGCCAAAAGCAAAACTGCAGGGGAAGAAGAAATGATAAAGGTAATCTATAACTTCTACAATCTACAATTAATACAGGATTGGCTGGAATCGAACTCAAACAAGCAGGTGTCTGTGTGCTGTGATTTTCTCTTAATACAGTTATAATTGCTTCCTATCAGCTGTCAAGTGGTCTGGCCACAAGAAAGGTAAATGAGTTCCAGGACTGTAATAATTCTCAGTACCTCCTGTAGAGATAAGAAGATACTTTACCACTCAGGAGGACAAAAGAGTCTATGTGATCTTCCAGGTACTTGTAAACAGCTTGGGACAGAAGAGAGGAATTATGACCTAATCAGGGACAGAGGAGGGTTTACCAGAATGATCCAGAAGGGGAGATCTTTTAAGAGAATCTGAAAAGACTATCTTGACTTTATCTGAACATGAGAAATATATCTCTACTCTCCAAGTAGAGATAGGTGTCTTAACTAGTCAGAGCAACAGTATTTTAAGTCAATCTCTGAATTGTCCCTGCCAAAATTAAGAACTGTAGTAGTGCTTCTTTGAGATAAAGGCAGTTATGTCTAGTATCAAGGATTGCACTTAACAATTCCCATATTTCAGGCAGCTCTTACTTTTGCAGTTGTTTCTGGTTAACCAGTTTGAAAACTGTGAACTTGAAAAGTCACTGTGACTCTCATTCTGTTACAAAGGATATGTAGTCATTCACCTGTAACTGTTTTTAAAATACAGGTGTTTCATGTTGTGTTTTTGTTATTTTTTCATTTTTCTTTCAATTGTTAGATTCGTACTTGTGCTGAAAGAGAAGCTAAGAAGAAAGATGACGTTCCACAAGAAGACAAAGGCAACGTTAAACAGTGTGAAATCAATTATGTGTATGTACTTTAAAGCTGGTAACAGGCTCAAGTGCCTTTTTTTGTTTCTGACTGGGGCTGTCTTTGGGCCCAACGCCCATCCAGCCTTTCACTCACTTTTCATTAGCAGGACAAGGGAGGAAAACAGGGTGAGATAGCTCATTGCTCGAGATGAAGGAGAGCTGCTGTACCAGATACTGTCCCAGGGTTAACTGTGAATGATTAGTTACATTTATTTTCTTTTCATTGCATGTAAATTCTGAGAGACAAAAATTAAAAACACCACCTTTCCTTCTCCCATCTCAAGCTCAGCTTCTCTCCAGAGCTTCTACCTGCTCCGCTAAGCCAGATGGGCTGTAGGTCAATACACAGTGTTTCCTTTCAGCCACTCCCTCCCTTTCCTGCTTTTCCCCTGCTCTGGTATGGTCTTATTCATGGGCTGGAAGGTAATGTTTGGTCCAGTACCTACAGCATCTCCTTCCCCTCCTTCTCTGTGCTGATGTTCCCACTGCCATTTTGCACTTTTAGGGTTAGTTTTTCTTTCTCCTTCTCTGCCTGTGTGGCATTTTGCTTTATCTTAAATCTGTTTCCATGGGAGTGCCACCTGCTTTGCTGGTGGATTTGGCTGTGTCCTGTAGTGGATGTCTTGAGAGCCAGCTCTGTCCAGCGCAGGTCAGCCCCTGGCCTTTTCTCACAGAGCACTTCGCTGCAGTCAGCACCTTGCAACTACATCCAGTACACTTTTGCTCCCCGATTTCTTATGCTAGTAGTTAAGTAAGGGGCTCTTTAGAATTTGTAACCACTTCATGCTAGTCACAATGGGGCTCATTCCTACTTAGACTCCAAAAAAAAGCAAAACCTGAGTAGTTTTCACCTACAGAAGCCTTAGTGCAACCTTAGTCCTGGGATAGTTTGCTGGATTTTATTAGGTCAGTTACCTGCTGCTTTAATAGGAGCTAA